AAAATGGTGATGTGTGCAATACTTATTTTACCCGCTGTAATGGCTAAAAAATGATTTTGCAGATATGTCCCCTTCAAGCTTCACCAGAAATTAAAAACATTAAAATTCCTACTTTTGTTGAATTTTAATTTCCTTCTCTTCACTTGAAGTGAGGAGTGTTTTTAATTTGTCATATCTCTGACATAAAACAGCGTAGAAACATAAAAATGAACCAGTTTCATCAATAACAAACCACTGGCAGCAGCTTTAACATGATTTAATCATGTTTTAGATACTTCATACATCAAAARGTGGGCATTTTGTCTGAGCTCAGGTTACAGAAGGGATGGAGAGATCTGAGCATCAGCTGCATTTGAATCTTTGAAAATATCTTCAGAGATTTGATTACTTTATTACATGCTGTGCAACAGTGTGAAACAGTTCTTTTACAGATTGTGATTTAACAGTAAGAAAACCAAAAAGTAAAGTGACAAAGTTAATGTTACTTTARGTGGAATGACTCCAGTCTCTGAACATTAAAATAACTTTAAATCACTGCATTATGGAAAGTGTCTGAGGCTTGGTTACAGGAACTGGACTGACATCAAGCCATTGGCAGCTCATAGAAGGCAGCATATTGTCCTGTCACATGGTGGTAGATCTGTACAGGCAAATATAAAAAACACATTTGTAAGCCTAAATAAATATTAGGTGTGAAGTATCTGGATCCTGTGTGACGTCCGCTCTCACCTGCCTCTCGATGTCAGCCAACAGGCTGCTGGCTCCCAGGCGGAACAGGTGAGGATGGAGCCAATCGTTGCCCAGCTCTTCTTTAATTAGAGCCAGCCACACCAGAGACTCCTGTGCTGTTCTGATCCCCCCTGCTGGTTTAAATCCCACCTACAAGAACACATCAACAKCTTACTGCAGCAGGCAGGTGTGTGTTTGTTACACTCACTACAGAACTGCTTCAGCTGTGTCGGAGAGCAAATAACAACCAACATATTGACACAACACTGCTGACTCTACCACAGCAGATATCAGGAACCTTTAAATCAAACCACAGATCTTCAGCCAGACTGAGGTCTGGGTTTTAACTGGACCATTCCAGAACATTTAACTGGTTCTCTTTAAGACAATGGAGCATTGCATTTAGGATCATTACCCAGCTGGAAGTGGACCTTCATCCTTGTCTCAAATCTCTGGAAAACCTCAACAGATTTTTCCAATTTCTTTTTTTTTTTTTTTTTTTTTGCTTCACCCATTTTTCCTTCAACTCTGACCTGTTTCCCAGTCAATGAGGATGTTTCTGTTTCAGCCATTGTCAAAAGCTTGCACATGTATGTTTGGAGTCATTATGTTGTTGAAGGACCGATAACCTGCAAGTAAGACTGACTACGACTATTCTATGTTCTATGAATCCTGGAAGGCCACCAGGGGGCAGTGCTGAAAGCAATGAATTTTCTCTTCGCATGTGCGCCATTTGAGTAAACAGTGTCAACAAAATCACAGCTGTGATCCATCCAATGATTACCTAGATTCAATATAGGCAGGTATCATCCGAGGCTCTGCTCTTACAGAATTTCTCGCAAAATGCAAGGATTCTGAGTGACAAAGAAGCTCTGGAGGTTAAGAGCGGATAAGAGGCGTCTACGCTGACATGGTAAACTCTGATAAACATGCTCGGGGAGGCCCAGGACGCCGCAGCAGATCAAGTTTCCAGCTGGACCCCTCTCAAAGCTGCCCAGGAACAGAAACGCTCATGGTAGAGTGRGTCTTGATGCCAACTGGCAGGGAGCCGCATTCTGCACAGTACATGTGACAAATGATATCCACAGTCCAATGGGAGAGGCGCTGAAGAAGATGACCCAATCTAGGGCTTCCATAACACAAGAACAGCTGGTCTGAGCGTCTCACACCTGCAGTAGGCAACACATATGCCTCCATCACCCTCTGGATACAACAACTCAGGCTTATCCCCAGCTGCTCCTGACGTAGGCTGGAACTGTGCCAATCTCAATTGGTTGGTTACAATGACGAGATAAAATCTTTAGCACAAATGCAGTGTTTGGCCATAAAGTAACACCACAGCCATCCGAACCTCATCTGAGACATGAAAGACTGACAGAAAAACCATGTAGGGTTCACCAACCCTCTTGGTTGAGGAATAGCCAACAGAAAAGCAGTCTTACATGAGAGCCACTTGAGGTCCACCTGCACCAGAGGCTCGAATGGAGGATGGCACAGAGCTTCGAGCACCACGGGAAAATCCCAAACACGTACTTGCAGAACTGCCAGTGGGCACAACCATTGAGCACCATGCAAGAAAAGAGAAACTAACTTAAGGCTCTCCAATGTACAGCTATCAATACCAGCATTACTACACAATAATACCGCTACATACACCTTATGCCTTGAAGGAGAGKGACCCTTATCAAGGAGAGATTGGAGAAACTCCAGGATCATAGGTATTGGACAGGAATCCAGATCCTCATTATGGGCAGAACAACACTGGGAGAATGGATCCCACCTGTTTTCATACTGTTGGCAAGACGACGGTGCCCCGGCACTTAAAACAGTGTGTCTAATGAGATCAGAGTACCCAGTCAGCTGTAGCCCAAGCCCCCAGTGGCCACATTAACATCCACAACCATTGATGATTTGGGTGTCACATCTGCCCCCCAACTGAGACAGAAGGTCCCCCCTGGTCAGAAGACATCATGGGACACTGCAACATAGCCTCTGTAGCAATGGGAATCATGACTGTGCTGGGCAGTACAGAACCACCAGCAACAGAGGACTTTTAATCAAAGATGGGTCAACGCATCCTGGCCCAGTGCACCCCATGCCCCTGTGAGGGAGTGCCATAYGTTGGCCAAATCTGGTAAAAGCCAAATGTACAGCACACAGCTCCAGTACATTTATGTTTGTAGCTATCCCTTTGACCCCAGTGACCCTGTCTGTGTTGCCACACAGTGCCCCATCCTGTGGAGCTACCATCTGTTGTAAGGAAGCCAATCGTTGAGATACAGAAGTGCCTTCATTCCGCTGGCCTGCAGGGGAGAGAGAGCTGCTTTCACACACCAAATAAATATTCTCAGGGAAAGGGAGAGGCCGAACAGGAGTACACAGAATTGACAATGGCAACCCCGAAACATGAATGTGACGATGGTCTAGGCATATGAGTTTGTCAGATCTATTGATGTAAACCACTCTTCCCTTGCTACAGCCTGAAAAACCTCTGATGTCCCGAACCTGTGAAAAGGCAGCACCTTCAAATACTGGTTGAGTACCCTCAGATCCAAAATGGGACAAAGCTCACCTGTCCTCTTCGGCACGAGGAAGTATGTTAAATAGTAGACTCTGGGTTACCACAGGGGATCCACGGCCTCGATTGCACCCTTGGCCAGMGGGATGGAAAACTTCTGGTCTAGTGCTAGGGCTTTCACCGGGTCTTTGATTACAGACATCTTGACCCAGTGGTAGAAGTGAGGCCACCGTCGGAACTGTAACCGGTAACCATGCGTCAAAGTGGCAACCACCCATGGATCTACAACATGAGCAGCCCAGCAACTGAGCTGCTGATGGGAAAAATATCTGACGGTCAGCCTGGTGGCATCATTTCCATACCTTAAGACATCTGGAGGTCCTGGGGTGGGGGGTTGCGAGGTCTGAGGCCCTGGCCTACCTAGCTGGATGGCAGGCTGATTCATAAAAGCCCCTGCTGGGTTTCTGTTGCACAGCCTGAAGAGCCACCAGACCTATTGCCACCCCAATAAGGTGAGAGGGGGAATAACCCTACTAAGGTTAGTCTGCTGCACTTGAACAGTCTGCCCCCAAGGCCCCTGAACCGAACAGCTACCCCAGTAACACAGGAACACTCTTAAGGGTCCTTCGGGATATTTCAGTCAACGTAGACTGCAACAATCAGACCTGACGACGAGCCTGGACTAGGTAATACATCACATGCCCAAGCTCTCTGGTCATGACCGCAAAGGGCCCTGAAGTGCTGCATCACTAAAACTGACTGCTGCAGTTGTCCCACCAGTAGAGCTGCCACAAACGATTATTTTTATAATCGATTAATCACCGATTATTTTTTCGATTAGTCGACTAATCAGATCATACTTTAATTGAATATAAAACATATAGCTTATCGCGCCAGAATGCAGCTGCTATTATATAACCATCATTAGATTTTAGCTATATGCTAACTAAAAATAATTGCTGTGGAAGGCAGGTTCTGCTCTGCAGATATTACACAGGTTTCTCTTCCATTTTCTTAAAATGATCCCACACTTTTGAGCTCCYTTGCTGGGTAGCCATGATACCAGAGCCTGTCTGTATAATGTCTTGTGACGTCCACGGCCTACCCCAGTTACCACTACTGTGCATGTGTGTCAAGGACAGAAAGGCAGACGTGGCAGTGGAAGGTGTCAAAGCAGTTTGAAGAGAAAAACAAAGTAAAAAAAACACCCCAAAAAAAACAACCAAAAAACGATTAATTAATTATTAAATTAGTCATCGATTATTTTAATAATCGATTAGTCGTCGATTAATTGACTAATCGTGGCAGCCCTCCCACCAGTGTCCTGAAGGAGGCAGAGAGGGCACACGAGATGCACCAAGGAATTGCCAAGGCAGCCAGCACGTGCTCCAGCGCTGTAGGATTTACAGAGGAGATCATCTGTAATTAAACATTGAGCTCACGGGCATTCAACATCCCAATGTAAGGCTTCATATGGTAACACAATGAGTGAGGCAATAGCGGATTCAACTGCTGGTATACACTCCAAGTTAAAGTACCATAGAAAGAAGCTGGGGGTAAAAAGCTCTCTTCATCAGCAAACAGCAACATAACTTTACAAAGATATAATCATCATAGCCCCAGGAGGGCAATACCCTGCCATTCCAGCCAGCAAGCATCCAGCAACAGTAATAATGCTCCAAGCTTTGCAAAGCCTGATGCCTAGCAAAGAAACGAACCACATTCAAGAAGAAAAAAAAATGAGCAGAGCCTCAGATGAAACCGGCCTGTTTCACATTTAGGTAATCATCTGACGAGTCACAGCTGTGACTTTGTTGACACTATTTATTGGAACGGCACATGCGCAAAGGGAACATTCAGGAGGGATGAAAAAGAATGATTTTATTCAATTTTACCTACAACCCATGAGGTATGTATAAATTTAACAACACATAAGAAACTGAAAACTTGATGACTTGAAATAGTTACTCTCCAATTAAAAAATTTAACTTCTATGCAGCTTCAGTGAAGTTTTACGGTTAAACAAATTTTCAAAAGTAAAAAGGTAGAACTTTACCTTGTGGCCTGTCATTAAATAATAATCCCGGATAGCTCTCGCCATCACCACAGCTACAGGATAAGTAGCATTAACAGACTCCTTTCCTGTAGAAGTCTTAATAAAGTCTGAACCTGTGAAGAGAAACAATTAGAAACAGTTGTTACTGCCTGGGTCAAGAACAAAAACAGAATTTAAGATTGGTCATTAGGGTTTCTACCTTCTTTTTTGTTTTTTGGCCAGGCAGTGTATTTTAAAACTAAAAAYGAAACTGCTCAGTCTGTTGGTTTTGTTCTGGGATTTTGGTTTCCAGAGGCTGTTACTCAAACTGAAATATTCTGGTCCTCCTGACTGCAGTTATATCCAATACACCCAATCGTCTCTCTATATTTGATGGATGTTGCATTGTCTTATACAGCCGAACCCTGACCCACAAGTGACGTTTTTTCCATTGTTTGGGCCAAGCAAATGTCCACAAAATGACAAAATGTCCTCATAAGCATAGTATAATGTTAAAATTTGTCTCATCACCGATACAAAGACATGCACACACACAAAAATGTGTCGGTTACAGAACCAGATTGTCAGGGACCTTACTAGAGGTCATTAGAATAATACATTGCATTTGTCTCCACACTGGCTTCTTAATCTCCCTGTGCTTCTATAAATTGCATGAGATTCTTGAAATTGAATGATAATTTCACCTATTAGGTTGTGATACATGCAGTTTCACTCAGCTACTCAGCCAAATAAATGGAGCTTCATTGTCACCGCCCACATTTAATAACTATTATCCATTATCTGCTAATTAAGACTGTCCATAATGAATGTTTAACTGTGTGCCACTTTGAGAAAGAGGGAGAGGATTGAAAAAAGACCTGACTGAAAAAAGACGAGCAGGACACATCTTTAATGAACGAAGAAATGTTCATCTTGTCTTTTTTTGGGCAGTGAAGTCTTTCATTAGTTTGTGAGCAGTCCAAAAATTTATCATCCATTTTCAGCACAAAGTTTAGAAATCAAAACTTGTAAGCGAAGAGATGACGATGATCTTGAAGGTAGAAAATGAAAAGGAGAATTWATTTTTATTTCTGAACATGGAGCCAGAAACATTTAAGCTCGGGTTTAAACAGCAGTTGAATTATTCTGTACACTAATCTTCACAAGACTCTGGGTGTTAATGTTTTTAGCCGTCTGTGTGTTGGTTTGTGTTCATGGGTCTGTTTGTTATATCTCAAGAAGCACGAGATGGATTTCCATTTTAAATGAAACTAGAAAAAAGTAGCCACTGAATGTTCATCTACAACAATGATTCCCAGTCAGGGGTACGTGTAACCCTTGGGGTACGCGAGCATTTTACAGGGGGGTACGTGGAAAAAAATTCCCAAGTGTGTAAATAAATAAATAAAAATAGGGTTGGGATATGTAGGACCCTATGATTTCCGCAATGCGGAATTAACACAAAATGGAATCCAGTATAAAATGTGGAATCTCAGTGAATTTGCTCATTTGGGTGAGTTTCTCATGTATTTTGGACACTGCTGTTTTCTGCACATGCTATTACCTGGTTTATTTCTTTAAATACCTATTCTCTTTCAAGGCAACATTTTTATCTTTATGTTTAATTTGAGTTGAACAAAATAAAATGCCTGAGAATTAAATGTTCTGGGGTTTAAATAAATAATTTTCGTTTAATAATCAGTTCTAGTATGTTATAGTTTTGGGGAATCATCATTACTTTTGACTGACGGGTACTAGTGGTATTAAGAAAATGGCTCACGGGTACACAAGTCTAAAAAAGGTTGTGAACCACTGATCTACAAGGCACAGGTCTGCAGGTCTGATGATACTAGGGGTGTAAGAAAATATCGATACACTGAAATATCGCGATATTTCATTTCCCGATACTGTATCGATATTCTAAAGTAATTTATCGATATTTAATTAAGGCTTAAAATGTCAACTTTCCTGCCAGCCGATCATTTTTATGTTGTAGTTCAGCCTCTGACCACTAGTTGGCAGCAGTGAACCAGCCATTTGGCTCCTCTACCTCTTGAGCACCAGAGAGTAAGGGTAGCATTAGCATTGTGAGTAAACATTAGCTTCATGCTCCGATAGCTGAATCTGAGCGGAAAAGACCGACACCCTCTGCCTTCTAAGCTGAGGTGAGGTTACAAACAGTTTTGTCAGAATGTCTGTATTTTAAACCAAATTAAGTGTCTCGTGCGCTCTTTTTTCCAACTTCAGTCAGCCCTCACGTTACAGAAGGCTAGCGCATGTCTATGTAATTGAATTTTCTGAGACAAAGAATTTTGGTTTTTCATTTTTTTTCCAGTAAGAGGTTTTTATTTAATAGAATTTTTGGACCAAAAAATCACAATATATCGCAATATATCACCTTGCTTACAGTATCGCAATATATCGGGATATATCGTATCATGACCCGTCTGTCATGATATGTATCGTATCGCCAAATTCTTGCCAATACACAGCCCTAGATGATACGATTACAAAGCTGATGATCAAGCTGTGCTCTTAGCTGACCAACTACTTCTACGTCTGGACCACCTCAATGCTCCAACATGGGGTGTATGGGCAATCCATGTACAGCACAGAAGTCCAATAACAAAACCCCACAAGAGTTCTGATCAAGGTCATTTCTCCCAAACATTAAAACTATTATTGCCCACATGTAGGCCTGTCATAACAAATTTTGCTGGATAATAAACTGTCTCAGAAATTATTGTGATAAATGATAATGTTGTTTGAAGACCATTTTAAATGATTACTCCCCTCTATCAACAGATAATGTAACATTTAATTTTTTTCCCACCTCTTCTATCTAAGCTAGCACAAATTATTCTTTGTCTTCCTCTGACTTGATAAAACAATTGAGATTACCACTGCTTACAAAATTTCTGAAAATTTTACATAAAGTTACAGAGGGACCAGGAGCAGAGTTTGTGAAAACAACAAATCACAGCTACTGAAGCTTTAACATTGCTACCTGACCCTATCCAAGTCAGCACAATTTATTTTTTATGTCGTCCTCTGACTTAATGAATTAACTACAGTCATCTGCACACTGCTTATAAAGTTTACTAAATTTACGTAGTGTAAAAAAAACAAAAACAAATCTCAGCAGACCCAAGGTTCAGCATGGTGCCCTGAGGCGTTGCCAGCTAAAAGAAATAATCAGAAAACCAAAGATGCTCCTCTAGCTAAACGTCTGTTCACAGGTCTCAGGCTACATGAGCCTGGCAGATACCTGATGCAGGAGTTCACTCCTGTCTACAGTGAGGAGGAGAAAAGAGGGTGACATGAGGAAAACAAACAATTCATTCATTTATTGCTTACTGTGACAGGCCTACCATGTGGGCATTGAACTACAGAATCTCCTGATGGCACTGTTTCCATAACACCAAGTGGTCCAACACCAAGTGGTTGAACACCAAGAGGTCTAATACCATGGTACAACACCAAGTGGTCCAACACCAAGTGGTACAACACCAAGTGGTCCAACACCCAACACCAAGTGGTCCAACACCAAGTGGTCCAACACCAAGTGGTCCAACACCAAGTAGTCCAAGACCAAATGGTACAACACCAAGTGGTCCCACACCAAGTGGTCCAACACCGAATGGTACAAAACCAAGTGGTCCAACACCAAGTGGTACAACACCAAGTGGTCCAACATCAAGTGGTACAAAACCAAGTGGTCCAACACCAAATGGTACAAAACCAAGTGGTACAACACCAAGTGGTCCAACATCAAGTGGTACAAAACCAAGTGGTCCAACACCAAATGGTACAAAACCAAGTGGTACAACACCAAGTGGTCCAACATCAAGTAGTACAAAACCAAGTGGTACAACACCAAGTGGTTCAACACCAAGTGGTTCAACACCAAGTAGTCCAACACCAAATAGTCTAACACCAAGTGGTACAACACAAATTGGTCCAACACCAAATGGTCCAACACCTAGTAGTCTAACACCAAGTGGTACAACACAAATTGGTACAACACCAAGTGGACCAACACCAAGTGGACCAACACCAAGTAGTCCAACACCAAGGAAGTCTGAATGGTACAGCTGTTTTAAATTGACGTAATCACTTCGGTGTTGGCTGTTTTCAGATAAGCTCATGTCTTTGATCTAAAGTTGTTCAAAAAGTTACAATATTTTTTATAACTTTTCCGCAGAAAGTCACTTCAAAATGTCTAAACTCTCTCTTTACCAGTTGTCATGCTAGAAATAACGAAAAGCATTGCTACTCATTGAGATGTGACACTGACCAGCCATCATGGCCACCATGCTGGCTTTGTAGACATTAGTGAATGTTCCCAGCTCTCCAGTAGCCAGGATGGTCTTCATGTGGGCTTCACCACAGGCCTGTCGAAACTGCTGCAGCTCACTGTACATGGCTGCGGAGAGGGAAGACAAACCACCAAACAAATATCTGGTCAATTTATAACCCTTTTATTATGTTTAAAGGAAATAAACTGAGCTGAAAGACCAACAGTAAGACAACACACCTTCCCACTGTCCTGTGAGAGCCAACGTCCTGTTGATGACAATGTCGATTTCTGTAGCACCGTCTCTTACTGCCAGGAGGACTTCCTGCAGGCGGGTCTCCAGTGGAGTCTGTCCTGCTGGGAAACCAGTGGCAACTGGGAACCAAGACACAGACTGTCACACAGTGAGGAGAAACCAARGGGACTTTTTATACAGTGAGTGTTTTTAAGAGGAAATTCACTGACAAAAAAATAATAATAAAAAAAAAACAATTAGTTTTTGCTGAGTAATAATTCTGCATTAGTAAGCATTAAAACAGGTGTGATAAAGTTGCAGGTAAGGTACCTGAGGCAACAGGTAGGCTAGAGTTTGCTGCTTTCAGTGATTTGACAGCATCAGCCACACGAGCTGGATACACACACACCGCGGCTGTGGTTATTCCTGCAACAGAACACAGGAAGGCTTTACACCCAGATCAGCTGTTCTGTGTCTCCCTCTGCTGGTCATGTACGGACTGACAGGTTAACATCAGCTGCAAGAATAAACCGTTACCTGCACCTTGACCTGAAGTGTGAACATAGCCTTTAGTTTCCCCACACAGACTCACAACATTATGAACACATTTCTAACAAGGCACTGCAGTGACAGAAGTGGAGAGCAGTGAGAGCACACCTTTGTCGTGCATGTCCATTTTCATTAGCAGGTCCGATCGGATGGGCTGGATGGCTTTAACACAGAGCCGATGAACGTTTGACGGTGTGTCATCTCCAGCCAACGTGGTCAGGTCGATGCACGTCACAGCCTTCAGCAGCCAGGCAGCCTGCAGTAAGGCCATGACAAAACAAAACGTTTACACTGAAACATACTGTATGAGTGTTGACTACAGATTTCTATAAAGTGTACATGTAGTAGTGCTGTACCAAACAGTTATTTTCTAATGAATTAATCTAATGATTATTTATTCGATTAATCGATTATTCTAACAACAAATCTATAAGTTATTCTGATGTGAGTGCACTGGA